AAAAAAAAAAAAAAAGGTGAAAACACTCTGAGATTATTGGAATTGATAATAATGGCATTTGATCAAGTTGAAACTGGAAATGTCTGTTTCCTTTAGAGAGCTCTAAGAGGAGACAGATACTTTTAGATCAAAGTAATAATTGGGCCTCCTTGTCTCTTTATCAAGGCTTATTCTATTGTATGTGACTAATCTGTTCTGAATTCTAACTCTATGATATTGATAACAAAACTTTTGTAGTGATCTCTTGTGGATAGTTGATGGTAGGACTTTCTCAAAGCATAATATTTAGTCTCTGAGTTGGCTAATGTCTTTCTGAAAACATTACTTAGTGGCATCCCTTTTGAGGATCTCCATCATGTACCCTTTCACCAGAAAAGGCAACCTTTACAGGGGAATTGGATGTTTTATTACCATAGTGACATCAAGTGGACCCCCAAACACCCATAACTAATGATCCAAGCAACTCAGCAACATTAGGCAGAGTTCATTAGACAGATGGTTAAAAAAAAAAAAAAAGAATCATTCATTTGGACATCCTATCACTTAACACTTAACAGTCAACAACATTTAGATTCATCATTGACAGTTTGTGCATTTTTCCCAAGACTAGTAAAATATTTTGACATTGAAGACTGCATCTTTTCCCTAAAAGAGATAACTATAATGGCTTTCAGTCAAAAGTCAACTGTTAGAAAATATCTTTCTGTTGTTTTAAGCTTCTACAAGACAGTTTTTAGGAAGTTGATGTTTGTTATGATGTATTGGTACTCATAACTAAAAAGTTAAGAGGATAGCCAAAAATAAAGCTTTATTCCAAGAAGAAATCTATTACACTAGAAGACTCTAACTTTCAAAAAAATGAAAATATAAGTAATTCTCTGAAAGTCTTAATTACCTTAATTTGAATTTAACATTTTCCTAGTGTCTTCATTTCTGCTAAATTCTCTGGAAAGCCAAAATATATCAGAATTAACAGTTTTACTCACACGTTTTATGTGTTTTCATTGTGTGAGTAGAGTCCTCAAGTTCCTGATTGGAAGAATTGTCTTTGCTAGTGGAGAATTTGGAATGGCCCTTTTGTTTGTGATGACATTGTTTTTCCTTATAACATTAGTCCTAATCACCGTATTACTCAATACTAGCCTATGATTCTTCTTAGGGACATCAGATAGTCTAACTTTTTCAATTTTCTTTCTATATGAAAATCTTTATATTTTTACAGCCAAAAACATTAGTTCATGCATTTGTAACATCACTCTTCTAGTACTGAAGCCTGCATGTCATTATCATCTTGTGTCCTTGTCCCTAATAAAGTTTTCCCTGTGGGAGCCACATGGAATTCAAAGCTGCCTATAGCCTTTCCAGGAGGCAAATAATAAGCCCCAGAAATAATCTGGTTCCAAAGGGAAATCAAGTTAGCTATATTTCTTGTTCATCTCTTCTTTATGGGATTAAATTTCATATTATGTCAGTCAAAAATGCTTCTATTTGTACTTAATTCTGATTCTTCTTTTACTAGTGAATGGGAGAGCTATAGGTACAGAAGAGAGTATAGAGATAATTTTATCCAAGTTCATTGATTTTGTCTTAGAAACATGTTAAGGACTGGACTTTCAAAGACAGAGAGCACATCAGATTAACTCACAAACCTATTATGATATTATCATATGTATAAACAATCAAAAATATATATAAATAAGATTTATTGACAAATAAAATCTCAATTGTGAATTATATTTGTCTCTCTTTCCTATGGTCCAGTTTGATACCTAAATTTATTTCTTTTGTTTTTGTTATAAAGTTCTATTTTTTTATCAATTAAATATGCTGTATTAATTCTCTACATGGTAGAATGTCTTTAGCCATTTTATACTTTCCCTGGGAAAGTGACTGATTTTGTATTTATTACTATTACTACTGGATTTTCAGGGCTTGGTCAAGTTTGCAAAACCATTGTTATCATGTTGTTTTTTCTTTTTCCACTTTAAACTGCTTTTCTTTATTTTCAATACCAAAAAAGAATTTCCAATGCTTTGCTCTCAATGCACTGTCCACTCTTGACCACCTTGTGCTCTGTTCCTGAGGTTGACCTTTCACTTTCCTCTCAGCTGTTTTGGATCCCGTATCATGAACATTGGCATTACCAGTTTCTTTGTTTGGGATGAACTCTCTTTGCGGTGTATTCTGATTCCTCATGTCTTTCTGAAGCATGTTCTCTTCACCTCTGTGCTATAGAAGAACTTATTTATCCAGCCCACACAATAATCTATTTTTTTTGGATAGGAAACAGATAGCTTCTATGAAGTTCCACAAGGAAGATAATTCTCATCAAGAAAACCCTTTATTTATATGCTTTCTCTTTCTTTACATCAAAGTAGCCACATATCAAAGGTGGTTGGCAGGCAGAGAAACATTTAGCACTTTCATCTTTAAAGTTCTTAGTATCCACTAGCTACAGGTTGCATAATTTTAATGTAAGCCACAACAATATGGATAATCACAAGAATCTGAAAATAAGGGCCCCAGTCCAGCCCTCCACTGGCAGGGCAAACACCCACCAGAGCCTAGCCTCTGGCACAGGACTGTCCTTTCTGACCAGCAGACTACAGCGGGAGGTCAAGCCCAGCAGCCCACATCCACCCACACAGGCCTGTGGGGGTGGGGGGCTGGATCACAGTAGGCCTGGGTCCACCCCTCCACTGGCAGGCACCCGCCAGAGCCCAGAGCACAGGACCGTCTCTTCTGACCAGAAGACTACTACGGGAGTCCATACCTGACCCAAATCTGTCCACACGGACTTGCGCAGGACCCAGGTCCAGGGTAGATATGAGTTTGCCACCACCAATCCCCACCTGGGAAACTAAACCTAACTCACCTCCATCTTGGGGCACTGCAGTCATCGCCATAGTCTTCCCCACACAGTAGCCCCTAACTCTTTGCCAACGGACAGGGCCTAGAAACAGCTGCATCTCAGAGCAGGCATCCCAAAAGGAGTGTGAGGCCCACTCTTCAGCCCCATCTCTGTAAGACATGGCTTCCATCTTGGGGCATCTTAACTGTTATCTCGAGTTACCTCAGCTATTGCTGCCACCAACTTTAGATGCAGTAGCATACACTGAGGGACACCAGCAGGGTCTGGAAGTCCAACATCAAGGTGAGGTTCAGGCAATCTGCATGGGTACTTCAAGAATATAGGGAAGAAACTAATATCTCAGATCCAAACTGCAAGAAAGGAAGACACATACACAACATGAAAAAACAAGGGAGAAAAGTGCCCCTAACAAACCAAGATACTATAATAACAGAACCCATGGACAGCGAAGTTGATGAAATGTCAGAGAATGAGTTCAGAAGGCTCATAATTAAAATGATCTGTGAATTAAAGAAAGACCTAAGTGAGCAAATACAGGCAAAAAATAATCACTCCAACATAGAGATAAGAGAACAAATACAGGTAGCAAAAGATTACTTAAAGAGAGAGGTAGAGATTCTGAAAAAAAAGTCAGAAATCCTTGAAATGAAGAATACAATAAGTCAAATAAAAAACTCAATAGAAAGCATAACCAACAGACTAGATCACTTGGAAGAAAGAATGTCAGATAATGAAGACAAAGTATACAATCTGGAAAATACAGTTGATCACACAGTGAAGATAGTAATAGACCATGAACAGAACATACAAGAATTATGGGAAAGCATCAAAAGAGAATAAAAGAAATTAAGCCAAAACTTATAAACATGGACTAGTGGAGCTAGAATTATTTATTTTCTGCTATACTTCAGAGAATAAATAATTCAGTAGCTTTCTTTTGATTTTATTTCAATAAGTTTTTGCCTCATGGGTGGATCTGCATGCAAGGTAGTGCTGGATGTCTTGGTAATCAATTAACTAATTAAAAAAACAAAGTTCAGGGAAAGAACTTGACTTACCACCAAAGAAACAAAAGCCTTTACTGATAAAGAATCTCTCTTCAATAGAAATGGTTGATTGCTTGTCTTCCTTTCTCTTTTCTCTCTCTCTTCATCCTAAAGTGTGGAAATCATAGATACTGTTCACAGTGCTTCCAATGCTTTCTCTCCTAGAAACATGCAGGTTAGAGAGACTCATCTCCATACGCTTTGAAGTTAGCAATGGTTCTGAGACCTACTGTGGCCACACCTACTTTCTGGATATAACCAACAAAGACCCAATGGAATGATTGGCCATGTAGTCTTTCTGTTACAAATGGGAACAGAACCACGTGAAAAAAATATATTTTCCATGATGCAAAGTTGTGCCTTCTTATATGTAAAAAGCATGAACTCAGTTTTGATAATTAACAATATATATTATCAATAACTCAATGACATTTTAGATTTTCCTATACTCTTACTAAAAACAGGAATTAGTTTCATTTAATTATTAACCAATTTTATGAACAGTTTTTGGTTGTTAAATTTATTTGCATTGTTTTAATAACTGAGTCAATATATGCATTGTTACATCTTTATTTCTCTTTCACTGAGACACTGCTGCATGTAGCACAACTATAGATATGTGTACTTTATTTTGGCAAGTATCAAAGTGTATATAATAATTTTCCTGCTATGAGCCAATAAGAGGAAAACTTTTATATTTTGAGAAAGAAAAAAGAACTTCTCTGGAAGTGAACATACTGAATCATATAAGTTTGTATGTTAATATAATATAGATGGTCAACATCTTCCTTTAGGCTATAAAATTAAGATGCAATATAAATTGTATCATTACTAAAATATCTTTTAAACATCTTCCAGAGATTTTTTTCTGAAGACCAAAGTGCTTTACATTTTTATAATAGTAAAATAGTGTCATATCTTTATTTGATCAAAACTAGCATTGAATTTATCAAAAGAGACTTTGAACTCTTCATGATAAATTTGATTTAAATTTTTATAAATGGACATTAGTAATATTGACTATTTTCTCTGTAGAGAATGCAATGGCAACTCCAACACTGCCATTTAGTAAACTACAAAGCAAATTATTTTCGCTACACTAGTAATAATAACAAATTTCTGACAAAAAATTTTTACAATTCTTGGTGGTAATCATCTGGATTTAAATTACATGTGGATGTAATTTAAAACAAGATGTGTGAATTTGAAATAAAATTAAATGAAAATTGAGATACATTTGAGGAATTCCAAATGTATTTGCACAACTATTTTGAAAAAGATATATTAAAGCAAGATATGTAAATGAAAAACTTGTGAAGCTAGGGTTGCTGGCATGCCCCTATTGTCTTAACTACACAAAAACATCTCTAGAGCCAGGAGTTAGACGCCAGCCTGCCACTCTAGGTCCTGTAGAGAGACCACATCTTAAAACAAAACAAATACCTCAAACACTTGATTTGAACCATAGATAGAAGAAAAAGCAAAAAAGATGCTTATGTAATATAAAGTACATCCAGCCCTCCTATCTGTGTTTTGATTAAAAGATTAAAGACCAGAATTGAAATTAATTTTAAAAATATATGTTTATTTGACATCAATCTCGTGAATGAAATAATTGTTGGCTTATTTGTCATAATCCATGTATTAAGCGAAAGATGAAAAACAAACATGTTTTTGTTCTTCTTTCCCAGTCACTTCCTTTATACAGAACAGCAACTTTGCCACCTCTGTCACAACTTCACCTCCCCAAAATTAATAACCTCGGACTTTAACACATCTCTTCAGCATTTTTATTCCCATTTCTCTTATTCTTTATCAAAATGCTCACATAACTTGAACTCTTAGAGTATGCAACAGAGTTAACGTAGAGGAAGATAGCAGTTGGGCCAGTCAGAATCCTCTTTGCAAAGGGATGACAGAGACCAGTAAAAGTAATAATTCAGAATATGATTCTTTAATCAGTAGAGAAAGTGAAATTGATATTTCATAACCACAGTGATCTCTCAATATTGTTATAAAGAACAGTGGACTATTTCAAATTCTACCTTGAGAGTGCAAAGTACTCTTCATACTGAGCACAGTAAATCAGAATTGGGAATAGGAAAGCAAATAGTTTCTCCAGAGGGAGAACAAAATGCAAAGCAAACTAGAAGCGAGAATTCCAGGACATTTAGTTTCATCATTTGCTTTCATTACCTTTTTAACATTTACATTTGAAAATATCTATGAGAATGTTATATAAGAATGAAGACAGTTATATAAAAAATAATTAATGATTGGGGAAAATATCATTATGGCATATTAGGCTGGGTGGAATACACTTTGCTGAAATAAGTAGCAACTCTTAATAAACTCACAAAACTTTACTACTCACTCACATAGAATCTACCACAGTGGGGCAACTCCTGGGCATCTAATCTTCAGGTGCTAACTCAGAGACCCAAGATGTTTCCATTTTGGCTGCCTGACCTCCACAAACCACCTGAATAAGGAAGGCATTTCCTTTCTTCTTCAAAGAAATGAAATACCTTCTTTATCTCTTCACATTCCATTGGCCTGAGATAATCACTTGGACTACTCTAAATTTAAGAGATCAGAAGGTAGATGTGCAAAAGATGGAGAATATGAAATAGTAAGTATCCAGCACAATTTCTAACAAAATGGGGACATGTTATTTAATTGTAATCTGGGTTTGCACATTTATAAAAGTTTGAATTTTTTCAAATATATATATATATATATATGTATATATATAAAATCTCACACATACATACAATATTGGAATTACCTAGCAGGATATTGTCACTACTTTCTGAATAGAGGAATTTGTTTTTGTTCTCTTTCATCTCTCTTGAGTTATTTTTGCAGAGTATGTGTGCATGCGTGTGTGTGTGTGTGTGTGTGTGTGTGTGTGTATATATATATATATATATATATATATAGAGAGAGAGAGAGAGAGAGAGAGAAAGCACACAGAATTTTCTTTCCATTCAATTTATTAAGTGGATATGATCAAAACCCTGCATATCTGTCTTTGTTATATTATGGTAAACTGCCTTTTCCAATACATGATGGTCAATTTTTGTAATTAATGGCTTCCCCAGTTTATTAATTTGTCAGCTAATGTTTATGCATAAGATTTTTTTTTTGCTAGAAACTATTTCAGTATTGAGGAATTAACATGGGGGGGGGGAGTACCTATTAGGAGTTACTGTGGAACTTACATTCTGGTGGGAGAAAGACCCAAGATAGATTAAAAAAAAGAGTAAAATATGTAGTATGCTAAAAGTGCTAACGGAAGAAGTAAATGCTGTAACACATATGAGTTCAGGTGTGGTACAAGGAAGGAATTCAATTTTAAATGATCTGATGAGGGAGGGTCTCTCCAATAAATTGATTTCTAAATAAACAATTTTAAGACTATGAAGATGTCAGCAATACAGATACCTCTGGGGAACCCATTCCAGACAGAGAGACCAATGAGACAAAAACATCCTGAAAGAGAACACAGGTGAATGTTCCAGGAATAGGAATGAGGCCAGTGAGTTCATAAAGGAAAATGGCAGGGGACAGTCATGGAATTGGAGGTCAGATAGGGTCAGGCCTGCAGTAGTATATTCTCTAAGATTTTCTAACTGATTGCGATGAATTTGGCTTTTCGAGGTAGAAAGTTGTGGGAATGTTTAAAGCAGAGAAAGATGTAATATGTATTCTACAGAGTCGCTCTGCTGTTTGGAAATATATGCTAAAGAGCCTCAAGAGAAAAGTCAGGGGCAGGGCCACTTAGGAGCAACAATCAACACAGGAGACATTCACTCCAGCCAGAGTGGTAGCAATGAAGG